TTTGTTGTTTGACTGATAAATATATATAAATTTTAATTATAATTATATATCTAAACACAAATGAGAAGAGTTATAGTCTATAGATATAAATTATATAAATCGCAAAACAAATCTCACAATTTATATATAGATATCCCGAAGAATAACATAATTTTTTAGTCTATTTGTCCAGAAATTTATATAAAAGTATTTATAAATATATGTATTATTTGATAATTAGCGCTGAATTAATGAATTTGATTTGAATATTAATTAATCGTTTCGTTTGAATTGATGTTTATAACAATTAAATGAGTTTTTTCACACAATTTGGATACCATTTGTAAATCACATTTAAATGACCAGAAATTGGCATAAAAATCAAATGTTAAAAGTTTTTGTAACTTTAAACAACACATCAAAGTTTTTTTGTCTCTTACTGTGCAATGCATATACAATTTAATTAATTACAAAACCATTAAAATTAAATAAATAAATAAATTTATAAAACAAATAAAAAAATTACAAACACTAAAAAACCAAGAGTTGTTTTGTTCGCACCGTTTGTTAACAAAAAAATTTAATTAATTAAAAGCAAATAAAAAATACTATTATATTTCATTGACAAAAACCAAATTAAAAGCAATTAAACCCAAAAACAGAGAAATTAAAACCAAAAAGTACCTAAAAATAGCAAAAAGTGGGCAAAAAAGTAACAAAAACTTCAAACTTGGCGCTACAAACTGCACCTCCTATGGAAAGCACAGCGCATCCCATTAAATACCGACACAAACAGGCAGTGATTCTTACGCGAAAACAGCGCCCGCTTTCGGTGCACACACTGTAGACACCACTACAGACAATAACGCCATTGCATTGGCAATGCATGCAAAGCACACAATAGGCTGAATGGATATGCGGTGTATGTGTTGTGCATCTAATATATCTATTATAGACTGTAATGAAAGAGTTATCGCATTGAGTAGACTGTAGTGTGAAATACGATTAGCAAACGCTTGTGTTTTCGATGCAAACCAACGCCTGATTTCATTCAACCATTTCTTAACCACCGATACATCCGTTGATTAGTTGGACAACAAATATCGCCAATCAGTTCTTGGGATCAGATCGCAGACAACACACAGAGAGACACGTGATTTGATTGCCATTGAGAGACAGAGACACCACTATCACCGACAAAGACCTAGTGATCGGCCGTTGATTACCAGTGGTTCCCAATCGTGTGTTTGTCTTGTTCTTCAGCGCCGGATAGTATCTCCTGTCCATCCGCTCGTCGTCTGGCCATCAGATTATGTCCTCTTCGTTGAGTGGCTTACCATCAGATGAAACACTGAGTCCACCGAACAAACGCCACAAGACGTCCGCCAATAATAACAATAATACCAACAATAGTACCGCCAATTGTCTCAACAACACCACCGCCGCCGCCATCACCACCGCTACCACAGCCAACAACAACAACAGCAATAACACCGCCAACAATCACTCTAATACTTCCAATAGTCATCCATCGGTAAGCCATTGTCATTGACAGCGTGTCTCACATTTTGCGTGTATTTTAGTCTTAAGCGATTGTCTACTAACACACCGGATGTCATGTCTTTGTATTGTCTCTCTCTCTGCCGGTGTCTCTCACACCCACACACTTTGTCTGCATGTCTTGTATCTATTGACCACCGATTTGTGTCTATTGTCTGCCCGTATGTGAACCGCATTTGCATTGGAGTTGTGTGGTAGAGTGGCCACCGGCTTATGCCTTATGGTGTGGTAGTAGTGTCACCACTTGTGTTGCATAACTTAATCCGTTGTTCACTATATACGGCACGAATCCCTCCCCCTTATCATTGGCTTTATGTGTATTTATAAATAGCAATCATATCATACGTTTACATAGTGTACAAAAAACAACAAAATAATAATTATATTTATTTAACCATTTTATAAGAGACGGCATTTGCTGCGCCGGTCGATAGTCATGTGGTCTTTGAAACCCGTTGGTGGCAATTGATGTCCCGTAAATGTGTTGCCAATTGTTCTGACAATTAGTTGTTCCCGTAGTGATTGTCTTCAGTACACTATTGGTTATAATTGTTGCTTAAATTGCAAACTATTAAATGAATTATCTTTTGGGGTGTCTTAAGCTATAGTGTCTGGTGTTTATCAATCCATAAATGATTGTCAATTACTGACGATTGATTTAATTGTTTGCAAAATCAATGACCAGTTGTTGAATGTATAGCGAAAAGTGTAAAAATATTTTTAAAGTAAGATTTCCCCCCAAAACCCCAGCATTTAATTCAGTGTTTAATTCAGACATTTGATTGAAATTCATTGATATTATCATTAAACACAACTACTGTTTAGTTATAGTGAGGGCAATGGTTTGGTTTGGGAACCGCTGTCTTTGTTTACACCCATTGATATCTCTAATGGTTTTTAATTAATCGTTTAGTTGTCATCACGTTATTAGCGTTAATATCTCGTAAAATAGTAGTATTTTTTATATACACGATTGAAATGCACTTTATTTTTTGTCAATCGATATCAAGTGTTTTACTATAAAATATAAAATACATAATACAGTAGTGTTTTTGGTATATAATAGCAACGATTTTGTGTACATTTTATAAAGCATTTACTGTTGAATGAAGTCTTGATAATGAAGTGAGAAAATTGTCTCAAAGACATTAGTGATCGTTAAAAATGTTGTGTTTTTTATTGTGTTTCAAATTGTTTTTAAGTTAACATATTTTGATAGTTAAAATGATGGTAAATTTGAATGAGGTTTGATTGTCGTACACTATATGGTGTTAGTGTACTGTCGTATGTGTCGATCGTTGATAATGAAAAATAAATATGTATTTCATATGTGTATAAATAAATTCATCGTCGGTGTTGTTAGCAGTCTATCGTCATGTGTTTGTGTCACTGATTGCCAAACAATTACATCACAATCTCTCTCTCTCTCTCTCTCTCTCTCATCCCAAACATATTATGAAACAAAAACAGAGATTTTAATCGCAAGTTATTTTCAATTATGAAAATCTCTATAACTGTACGCAAAGAATCTCTCTCTCTCTCTCTCTCTCTCGTTGTGTTGTTGTATAACATGTTTAGCCATTCATTCACTGTATGGTTGCTGTGAAGTACACATCGCTCAGGAATTGAGTATTTGTTAGCACTTTTTATCATAAGTTTTATAGTGAAGTTTTAGTGCAATTTGTTTGTTATTTTTAAATATAATTTAAGTTTTAAGAGGAAATCTTTCTATTGATTGCTGCCATACAATCGCAATCTTCTTATAGATATAATGATTAATGCATTGATTTTTCTCATTGCCGTTGCGTTCACTTAATTTTCCATTGATTTAGTGTTTAATTAAAGTTATAAATATAAAGTCATTAGTTATTTGAAGACATACTGTATTTGTTTGTGTGTGTGGTTTGTATTTGCGGTGACTTTTTCTGGATATTAAATACAATTTGATTTGTGATTAATCCGTAAGTTTTTGTATTGTTTTTTAGGTTTAATTTGTTGTATTATTTGTTAGTTTTTGTGTTTGATTTTATGATAATTTTTAGGTTAGTTACTTTTGTGTGTATTTTTTATGCTTTATTTTTTTATTGCTTGTCATTTGAATTATAATTTGTTTTTATTTGAATTGTAATATTGTTTATAGTTTTGTTTATTGAATTAAAAGTTATATAATTTATATTTTATTTTTGTCGTAATTTTAAAACCATTTTTTGTCACTAAATCTTTGCGTACAGTTATAGAGATTTTCATAATTGAAAATAACTTGCGATTAAAATCTCTGTTTTTGTTTCATAATATGTTTGGGATGAGAGAGAATAGTGAAAGTTATTTATAGTTTAGTTTTTGATGTTTTCTTACAACTAATCCATACGAAGACTAATTATAGACATTTACATAGAAATAGCAGTCATTTTCTCGATAGAAATGTTATGTAATCGACAATAAGATTGTGTCAAAAGTTTTTTATGATATTTTGTGTGATTTGTTTGTTTCTGGTATTTGTTGTCTTATTTTCAAATTGCTGGCAATTTTTGTATTGATTTTTATGTTTGAAAAGTAAATGTTATTTGCATTTACTGTAATTTATTGTTTATTTATATTAATGTGTATTGAAATCAGGTATGAAATCGTGTATTAGTTTTTTCCCTATAAATACCTGATATTTATTGATATTTCTGTCTTTTTCTGTGCATTTCATGTAATACTAGTAAACGTTTTGTTATTAATAATTAATTAGCTTTCAGTTTATTATGTAATCTCTCTCTCTCTCTCTCTCTCTCTCTCTGCGGTTAACGCCATAGTAACCAAAGCTCTCTCCCATTTGGACACTAAATCTCGGTATTGTTTAGGTCTGGAGTTGTAATTGATTTTCAAATACAATAGGTTATAGAGTTGTTGTGCCATTCAGTCCAGTCTAGTCTCGTATTTCAAGCCGGGATTTATATGGCATTTAGTTTTGAATTTTGTTATTGTTTTGTATGGCTTTTTAGTTTAGTCTAGATTTTTTTTCCTATGGCTTTAACTCTCACTGGAGTTTTGTGCGATATTTACATTGTATTAAACCATATGATTAAAAGCCCGCCCACATATGCCTACCCACATACACACGGGCACACCTACGGGGTTTTAACCCCCGTTTTGTCCGATAATTATCGCTATAATCAGCAAATTATAAGCTTTTTTGTTATGTATTTATATACAGATTGCATGAGATGTCTGTTTAACTATTATAGCAATTTGTATGCGGTTTGAGATAAGCATTTTGTTTGACGAGAAAATGACTGCTATTTCTATGTAAATGTCTATAATTAGTCTTCGTATGGATTAGTTGTAAGAAAACATCAAAAACTAAACTATAAATAACTTTCACTATTCTCTCTCTCTCTCTCTCTCTCTGCTGTTAACGCCATAGTAACCAAAACTCTCTCCCATTTGGACACTAAATCTCGGTATTGTTTAGGTCTGGAGTTGTAATTGATTTTCAAATACAAGAGGTTATAGAGTTGTTGTGCCATTCAGTCCAGTCTAGTCTCGTATTTCAAGCCGGGATTTATATGGCATTTAGTTTTGAATTTTGTTATTGTTTTGTATGGCTTTTTAGTTTGGTCTAGAGTTTTTTTTCCTATGGCTTTAACTCTCACTGGAGTTTTGTGCGATATTTACATTGTATTAAACCATATGATTAAAAGCCCGCCCACATATGCCTACACACGGGCACACCTACGGGGTTTTAACCCCCGTTTTGCCCGATAATTATCGCTATAATCAGCAAATTATAAGCTTTTTTGTTATGTATTTATATACAGATTGCATGAGATGTCTGTTTAACTATTATAGCAATTTGTATGCGGTTTGAGATAAGCATTTTGTTTGTTTGGTTAGCCGTTATCTGATAGTCAATGAAATGCTTGAATCTCTTTACGGGTAGACTTTGCATTGAAAAGTGAAATTAATTTGTCAACTATTTTGTTATCGCAAACATTTATTAATGGGCTTTTGATGTTGACGTTTGGATCACTGATGAGGTTTAGGTAGGTTTTGAATGAGAGGTTTAAGGGTATGTGTGATGAAAACATTTGGATTTTTCTAGAAACTAATCCCTCAGAGATTTGTCTCAATTTGAGACAAATCAATAGTAATTGTCTGTCGCAAAAAACATGGTGTTTTTGGTTGGCTGTTGTGAATAGGGAGGCAATTGCACTTTTAATATCTATATTTATAAAGTCTATCATTATATTTGATTAGTTTATAATTAGTGCACAAATCAGTGCTAATTATATATTTTGTATGCTTTTTGCAGTGACTTTAATACGATATTTATTGCCATTAAATTGCAACAATTAGCAGCAATTATAGTTGTATTGTATATATTGTATTGAATATAATTATATTTATTTATTGTTGTTTATAACGAGTTTTATATTCACCTCTCATTCTCGCGACAATTGTAGTCGAGTTTTTCAAAAATTTTATACTTATTTCCACAACTAATTCACTTCACAATTGACTTCAATTTATATATGAATACCAACTGATTGTATGATATTTTTTTGTGACTATCTTTCCGTGTGATAAGCGTTTAGGTATTTTTTAAACCATTCAATTTCCATCACATTTTGCTATACTCTCTCTCTCTCTCCCTATGGTGTACTCCTAATTGCATGCAATTTATTTTCAATGCATTTGAAGCTAATGTTTATGTATTTATTATACCCCTATGTGTGTGACTCATAAACTACTGGATTGTAACCATAAGAAAAAGTACACTGTTTATTGCTATTATATAATATACCCTCGGTTTGTGTTGCATAATAGACGTGCATATGCTCGGGGTCAACGTATCGGTGCCCAGAAACTAGTTTTTACCATTAACTCCTTCCCACCACCGCTCAAGACAATAGCTGTGCTCTCTCTCTCTCCGCCTCCACTACTCATCTACTGTTTATTCATTTGTTTTTTCACTGTTTTTCTGCCAAAACTCTGCCACTCTTTCCAGTGTCTAATCAGTAGTTTTTTGTTGTCATATATTATATAATGTTTTTTGTCTTCATTTGATGTCATACTTTGTATACATGTTTTAAATGTGTTTTGTATTATCCGTCCGTATATTATAGGGAGAAATGGCTTCAAATGGTTCGGCAGTGAATTCACACAACGACAACACCAGCAATGATATCGACGAGAGTCTGTACTCAAGACAATTGTGAGTTGATTTGTGGGATCTGTTTGCGCGGCAATGTGTATGTGCTTACGATGTGTTGTTTTGTTTGTTAACCAACGCATAGGTATGTCTTGGGTCACGACGCTATGCGCCGAATGGCCTCATCGGATGTGCTCATATCGGGAATGGGAGGACTGGGCGTCGAGATCGCCAAGAATGTCATCCTCAGCGGTGTTAAGTCCGTCACCATTCATGACGAGAGCACCACTCAGATCAGCGATCTCTCATCACAGGTATAGCTCTCTCTCTCTCTCTTTCTTTCTCTCTCTTTCTTTCTCTCTTTCTTTCTCTCTCTCTCTCTCTCTCTCTCTCTCTCTCTCACGGCTTTCTAACGATGTTTTGTTTGTCTCTCTTTGTGGTGATTGACGCGAAACAGTTCTACTTGTCTGAGACGGACATCGGCGCCAACCGAGCGGAGGCCTCGTTGAGCAAATTGGCAGAACTGAATCCATACGTATCGGTGGCCACATATACCGGGAAACTGACCCACGATTTCCTCAACAAATTCCGTGTCGTTGTCTTAACCGAGTCATCGCTGACGGAACAGAAGGAGATCTCCGATTACACCCACTCTAAGAATATTGCGCTTATCGTCGCCTCAACTAAAGGACTCTTCGGGTATTGATTTGATTTGTTTGTTATTATCTATTGTTTTGCCTTATTTTCATAAATATATTCTTCGACTCAAAAGGCAATTGTTCTGCGATTTTGGTGACAATTTCCAAGTGAACGACACGACCGGCGAACAGCCGCTGTCCGTAATGATCACATCGGTGTCGAACGCGACGGACGGTGTGGTGATCACACACGACGAGACGCGGCACGGGTTCGAGTCGGGCGACAAAGTGACGTTCCAAGAGGTGGAGGGTATGGCCGAACTGAACGGGTGTGAGCCGCGCACTATCAACGTGTTGGGCCCCTTTTCGTTCGCCATCGGCGACACTTCCGCTTTTGGCCAATACAAGAGAGGCGGTTACGCCACTCAAGTGAAAGTACCCAAAAGTGTTAACTTTGTAAGTGTTGTGGGCTTTGTGTTAAACTTTTAATGGGTTTATGTAAACACTTTGTATGTATTTTTGATTTTAACGACATTTTGTTTTGTGTGACCAGAAATCGCTGCGCGAGTCGTTGGCCGCACCGGAGTTCGTGCTGTCGGACTTCGCCAAAATGGACCGCCCGGCCCAACTGCACGTGGCCTTCCAGGCCCTCCACGCGTTCGTTGAGCGCAATCATCGGCACCCGAACTCGTGGTCCGAAGCGGACGCCACCGAGTTTCTCAAGATTGTGGCCGATTTGGCCGCCGAACAGAAGCTGGAGATCCAGATGGACGAGAACCTGATGCGACTCTTCTCGTACCTGAGCCGCGGCAACATTGCGCCCATGAATGCCGTGATTGGCGGCACCGCTGCTCAGGAGCTGATGAAAGCGTGTTCCGGCAAATTCAGTCCTCTGTACCAGTGGTTCTACTTCGACGCCTTGGAGTGTCTGCCACTCAAGCCGGAGGACTACCCGAAAGAGGCCGACTGTCAACCGACGGGCAGTCGATACGACGCCCAGATCGCCGTTTTCGGGCCCGGCTTTCAGCAACGGCTCGCCAATCAAAAGTATTTTCTGGTAATATCTAATGCGGATGTGTTTTGTGGTGACAATGAAATGATATAATTGTATACTCGATGTCCGCTCCCAACAGGTGGGCGCCGGAGCCATAGGTTGTGAATTACTGAAGAACTTTGCGATGATAGGGTTGGCCACCGGCCAGAACGGCGCCATCTGGATCACCGACATGGATATCATCGAACGCTCAAACCTGAACCGTCAGTTCCTGTTCCGTCCGACAGACGTCGGGAAGTATAAGTCGGTGACCGCCGCGGCGGCCGTCAAACGCATGAACCCCAACGTCAATATCGTTGACCACCAGAATCGTGTCGGAGCCGAAACGGAACAGACCTACGACGACAAGTTCTTCGAGCGCTTAGACGGCGTGGCCAACGCTCTCGACAATGTGGACGCCCGGGTCTATATGGACAGGCGCTGTGTCTTCTATAGGAAACCGTTGTTAGAATCGGGAACTTTAGGTATGGAATCGATTCTCTGTGCATTATTTGTTGGTCACACACCACCCGATGTCTGTGTTTTTTTTACCATCGATTGTCTCATTAAACAGGCACTAAAGGCAACGTACAGGTAGTGCTGCCATTCCTAACGGAGTCGTACTCCTCATCGCACGACCCGCCAGAGAAGTCCATTCCCATCTGTACGCTGAAGAACTTTCCCAACGCCATAGAGCACACACTCCAGTGGGCCAGAGATGACTTCGAGGGCGTGTTCACCATATCGCCCGAAAACGCGCGACAATATCTCAAGTAATGCATTGTTTGTCATTAACTTATGTATCACTTAATGGGAACTAATAACTGATCTCATATCCTCATCTGCGAACCCCTCCAGAGACCCGAAATTTGTTGAGCGAACGATGCGGATGTCGGGCAACGAGTCGATCGTAATGCTGGAGAACGTGAAGCGGACACTCGTGGACGACAGGCCGGCCAACTTCGAGGAGTGCATCAAATGGGCCAGATTTTACTTCGAGGAACAGTACGCCAATCAAATCAAACAACTGTTGTTCAACTTCGCGCCCGACTCGTTGACCAGTTCGGGAGTGCTCTTCTGGTCGGGACCCAAACGGTGTCCGCATCCCATCAAGTTTGACCCAAACAATCAGACACACCTCGACTACATCGTCGCCGCCGCCAATCTTAAGGCATTCAACTATAATATACCGCAGAATCGGGACGTGAATGCCATCAAAGAGTACGTTTCGAAACTCGTGGTCAAGGAGTTTACGCCTAAAGCCGGTACGTGCATGTCTTAGGCATTAGTTGTGACAATTGTTTCTATAATCCATTTGTCTCTCTCTGTGTGTTGTCCACAACAGGTGTGCGGATAGCGGTAAACGACACGGAAATGAACGCCGACGCGGGCGGCGGTATGGCTGACGCGGATCGCGGCGAACAGCTGAAGAAGGAGTTGCCGGCGCCCGACTCGTTGGGCCCCAACTTCGAGATGAAACCCGTGGAGTTCGAGAAGGACGACGACAACAACTATCACATGGACTTCATAGTGGCCGCGTCTAACCTGCGCGCCGACAACTACCACATCGCCAACGCAGACCGCCATAAGAGCAAACTGATCGCCGGCCGTATCATACCGGCCATCGCCACCACCACTTCCCTCGTCACCGGTTTAGTGTGTCTTGAGTTATATAAGGTTTGAGTGTTTTTGTTTTGCATCTCTTACACGTGACTAATCTATTGTTTGTTTTTGTTGTTGTGGTAAACGTCTGGCGCGCCGAGCAGTTAGTGGCGGGACATAACAAGTTAGAGGCCTATAAGAACGGGTTCGTGAATCTGGCGCTGCCTTTCTTCGGCTTCTCTGAGCCGATACCGGCGCCGATTGCCAAGTATTACGACCACAAGTGGACGATTTGGGATCGCTTTGAATTGGAGGGCGAGAAGACGCTCAAAGAGTTCATCGATTACTTCGCCGTAAGTGTTGGCCGCCGAGTGATTGCTTGATTGTTTTTATGGATCAATTGACTGATGATCTGTTTCCATGTCTTTGTGGTGTCTTTAGGACGAGCATAAGCTGGAGATAACGATGTTATCGCAAAACGTTTCGATGTTGTACTCGTTTTTCATGGCCGAAGACAAACGCAGAGAGCGTATGGATCTCAAGTAATGGCCAATCAGTTGTGTCTTAAGATTATGTGTCTAATAATTGTCTTACATTTGTGTCCACAGAATGTCTGAAATAGTGAAACGCGTGTCGAAGAAGAAGATCGACCCGTGGGTTAAGTCTCTAGTTTTTGAATTGTGTTGCAATGACAAGGATGGAGAGGACGTGGAGGTGCCGTACGTGCGCTACACTCTACCCGATTGATTGTGTGGCCGACACCCCCGGCGACTGTCGCGCTATCCGTTTTCCCTTTCCCTCTCACTATCTGTTGTCTCTAAACGATGTCTAAACTCTTTAATTGAAATTGTCTTTAAATTAAAGCAAATTATTTTTAATTCAATGATTATATTTCAATCGAAATGTTTTTTAAAAAACAGTAACAGAATTACACATACCTTTCCCTCCCATACCTGTGCTCTCCCTATCTCTTCATTTAAATGATAAGTGAAAACAAATAATTGAAACCATTTTCTGTTGAGGTCTTTGACCGTTATTTTAACCGCTTTTTGATAATAATCTCAAAAGTTTTTGTCCTCTCATTCGGTGTTTTAATCGAAACCAAAATTTCTATTAAAAAATTATTAAATTATTTGAATGAATGAAAAAACAAAAACTTTTAAATGGTTTTGTAGTGAAAAACAATTGCGATTTTTGACGACAACTACACTATGAATACAATACACAACCAAAACACTTGTCTATCCCTTCTCTCTGTCCTCTCTTTTCACTCTTTATTTCTCGCGTTTTTGTCGAAACTATACTTTTCTGACTTTTAGGTGATATTTATTATTATTATTATAATTCAAAATTTGTATTTAATTTAATTAATGATTGATTGCTATCGAAAACTAACAATTTTTTTATTTAAACATAAATAAATATTATATTCCAATAGATTTTGAGTCTATTTTTTTGTATTCAATGAAAAGTTTTCAAAGAATTAAACTTTTGGGAAATTTATTGAAATAATTGTTTTTTAATTACAACTCAATAATTGAATTTCAATGAAATTTATTTATTATTATTTTTCTATCTCATTGTCCTTGAGTTCAATTAATACCATGTTTTACATAACGTAATATAAACTGCTCTATCATTTCCCTCTCATTAGTTATAGTAATTCTAACAAAAATCAGTTAATAATATCAGTATTTAAATGTCTGCCACAAAACCACTTGTTTTATAAGTTTTTGTGTTAATTCTAAGACATTGTGAGACAGACCTGATGTCACACCAACTGAATAGTGTGAAGGGATCCGTCAATTTAGTGACCGCTGCGGCCAATGGTTTGTCTTATTTTTTGAAACATTCAATGCATTCTTCGGTGTTATGAATGACTTTTTGGTAAAACTTGAGGTTTGGGCCAAACAATTGTCAAAACTCTGGTCAACGAAGGAGCCGATGGTGTCGTGGCGTTTGACACCCGTTTTGATAGTCACCAACACTTCCACAACAATAATGTGATCGAAATCAGCGGTAATATCGGCGAAGAATCCGATGTCTCGAAAGCGATAGATGTCTGTCGGGAACGGTTCGGCCGATTGGATAACGTTATCAATTGCACCGGTATTTTGCCATTCAATGCACTTTATATTTGACACTCATTCGTGTGTTTTATTCACGAGGAATAAGCGCCGACACCATCGCTGTTGAAGAATCGGATCCATTGCAAGAATTTCGGCGTGTCTTCGACGCCAACATTAGCGGACCTTTTAATGTGATTCGTTTGGCGGCGCCATTGATGGCAGATAATCGGCCCATCAATGGCTGTCGGGGTGTTATCATCAATATCTCAATGGTTCCGGGCATTGATTCGCGACGAAGTGTCGCCTATTCCTCCACTTCTGGCGCCATCGCCAGTATGACTCTGCCATTGGCTCGCGATTTGGCCAATCAGTGTGTCCGATGCGTTACCATTGAGGTCTGCGGGGCGTCGGATAATCACCCATTGGATCAAAGTTTAGGTAAAATCACGCTTTGAATGATTGATACAAATCTCGTGGTCTAAAGTTCATTAAAACCCTCAGCTTTGGATCAAAGTATCGGACATTTGGTGCAAAGAGTGATCGAGAATCCAGTGATGAACGGGGAGGTGATCAAAGTGGACGGCGGCTTAAGACACGCCATTCCTCCTAAGCTATAATCACTTAAAACATCACTTATTTTATTGAATAAAAGTTTTTTTCATTTGTTTCTAAAATAAAAGCCGTAATTATTGAATGAATGCATACTTATAATAGACTCTATGCGCCAAATCGGGCCCTTTTATCGCAACACTCACTGCACTACTGAATGGCAATCATATACTGACAAAAGGGCCCAAACGGTGAGACCTGTTTTGGTTGCCATTGAATTGTTAGCAAAACAAAAGCCAAAACACAACACAAGACAACACTTCTTGTCCACCAAATTGACCGCCGATTACGGGTTTTGGCCACCGATTCACAGACACAGCGACCACTCGATCATGTGGTATGAGATAATACCGTCGGCGGCGGCCTTAATGGTCTGCTTGGGTCTCATGGAGATCGGGCCTATGGTTAGTACAGTATAGCAAACCTATTGACCACTTGATCCCATCGGTGATGATCTCTTCGCCCAACAGGTGGCCCATTACGCCTCGTGGAGGAACCCAATGATGCGCCGGTGTTGGGACATACCATCGGAAGACTGGACGCGTCGAGACCAACGGATCGCCGACACTGTGCTCCGGATGCGATGGCCGGCCAATCATATGTATACCGTAGGCCTGGAGGCCATCCCCGACGCCGGGGCGCCCATCACTCGCTTCCAGGACTACCGCAATCTGAAGCCCACTCAAGGGCTCGAGTAGTGACACTCCAGAGGTCCGTGTCTTTGGGCACTAATTGTTTGATTAATTAAATGCTTAGTTTTTATGTCTGAAGTAATGATAGGTTTATTATTAATAGTAATTGTTTTTTCTTGTCTTATGTTTTGTAAATAATAGTCAAATAAATTGTTTTAATAAACGATTGAATTGTTTTTCGGAAGTGTTTTTTGTTGAAGAGTTTATTACTTATGATATGAAGGTATGAATTGATTGCATTTCTTTCACGAGTTGTTCTCATATTGTATTTCTTGAGACACTTGTGAACGGCTGATAGACATCCCATTTGTCGGTAAATACCGGCGATTAGACCACAAAATGATTGATTACGACATTAATGCCAACGAATGGACAACTGATTCGCAAACCATTAAATCATCACTCGTTTGATCCCAAGAACTGATTGACAAACAGATGTTTGCATTAATTTTATTGTCATTTTTATTAGAGATTTATATAAACATAGTTTTAGTAGAAATTAAAAATTACAATCAATTCATTGATTTCTCTGTACTTATAGTTTGAGTTAAAATAAACTGAATTAATGTTAACAACAATTGAATGCAGTTTTCATTGAATTACTTATAATTTTAGGCAAAAACTAAATCAAAATTTTGAAACAAAATTTCAAACAATAATTTTAAAAAGTGTTGAAAACTTTGAAAACTTTGATTTGATTTGAGTTGAATTGAGTGAACACTCAAGCGATTAAAGATGGAAAACGCGATCAAACGATTGGAAGCGATTAGATTACGGTTACGATTGGATCGGTTGGACAGGGAGTTGAGGGGCAAAGAGTACGGACTGTACGACGGCTTCACTCCCGAGAGAAGCAAAGACCAGATGAGAAGCGGTCAGCGATACGCGCAGTCGAGTCCGGGCGGCGCCCAATACTCACAACCAGTGCGAACACCAGTGCCGAGCAGTAGTGAGAGCAGTGGCGCCCAATACTCGCCACCCGTGCGGACACCAGCGCCGAGAAGTGGCGACCAATACTCGCCACCCGTGCGGACACCAGCGCCGCACAGATCCGCCCATTACGACCACAACGGTGTCCGCGATGTGAGGGCCAAAGAGAGACCCGAGTCGACGGCCGTCAGCTTTTCGGGCTTAGGGCCCGACGACTGGGTTATCGATTGGGAGGAGTGGGACGAGGAGTACGACCTGTGGCTCAGTTGGCACTGGGAGTTGGCGCGCGAGCACATGTCAGGCAACCGGTCGCCAGAGGAGTGGCGCTACCGATGGGCCATATGGTGGGAGGCATACAACGAGTGGTTAGCAGTTTTTAACCGCTGGCTCGAGGGCTACGACCAGTGGTGTCGCGCCTACGACGAGGACCAAGACATTAGAGAGCGTCTGTCTGCGAGTCCGACACAGCAGTGGTTCGACCCAACGGGAGGTTTGGACCTCACGGGCAGTCAGTGGCTGTCTTACGACGAGATGGTCGGCGGGCGTCGGATGACCGATACGATCGGTCATCCGATGGCCCACTAAAGGGTTCGGGCAGTCGTGTGGGTGAAGAGGCGGGGAGTGTATGAGTGGTGAGTCTGGACACAGAGCCATAGGTGACCCGTCAGCGACCCTTTCATCCCTTCGGGCGTTAGGATAGACACAGAGCCGCCGGCGACCCGTCTACAGACCACTGCAATAACCATCGTTACACTCCCCCTGTGGTGACCACAACATCGGCACCACCTCTTCATCACCTCTTCATCACCTCTTCACCACACGTTAGGGCCATACGGGCCGGTCGTCGACGACAGTAATCTTCAACACTTCCAATGCCTCCGCAACCGAGTGGTAAAGCCGTGAAGGAAAGGGAAGGCCGGAACGGCACAGAAGGCCGTCAGAGCCGGCGATAAGAAGAAACACCGCGAGAAGAGGAACGAGTCGTTCAGTATCTATAACTACAAAGTGCTGAAACAGGTCCGCCCGACACCGGCATCTCCTCGAAGGCCATGTCTATCAGGAACTCCTTCGTGAACGACATCTTCGAGCGCATCGCTAACGAGGCCTCACGTCTGGCCCACTATAACAAGCGCTCGACCATCACTTCCCGGGAGATCCAGACCGCTGTCCGCCTCCTATTGCCGGGA